GCTGCTAAATCTGACTTTGGATCATTTCAGTCACTCCGCCGGTCTTCTCTCTTATGTTTGTGCTTTGGAGCATTTTAATGACTGACCATCCAACAAGTCTGTGCTTCAGGTTTAGTGAATGAAATTCTAGTATTTTATGAGTCCCCTGCATCTAAATATTGGGATTTCTGGCTTGGAAAAAAAATGTCCCGAGGCTTGTTCAGAAAACATTAAAAAAAATGCTGGTGTTGAGGCTTTAAAATGTGTTGTCCACTTATGATAAACATTTATGATAAGATTGACTGGATGTAACAGCGGAACTGGTCGCTGTAGTGCTGTGACATTACACTGGCTTTTGAACTTCCTTCTTCACCTCCTCCAAACCTGGAGGTTTTGTGGCTCTTTGTAGCCAGAAATGTGAATGGATCACTAAGTTATCAGCTAACACTAGAACACTTAATTAACAAGATTCATTTATAGACTGTGTGAGTACCTCAGACATGCTCAGATACCTACTAATAAGTGTTAAAATACACAAAATAGTGTGTGAGTCCAGCCCCCAAATAGGTGGGGTTAGCTTTACAGGTGATTTACAGATGTTGCACTATTTCCTTAACACAGGCGCAGTCAGTTCATTCCAATATCAAGCGAGACATGCTGTTTTTTGGTGCAATTAGCAGTAAATTTTGTGATGCAAATGTTAATAAATGAGACTGCATACTTGATTTAAATATTCCCCTCTCTATATTTGGCCCCTTGAGAAAGGAACTCCTGGAAATATATATGCAACAGGGTCAGGCACATATATAAAAGTTCCCACCTCTTCCTCTTGTAACAAACCCAGTTTGTTAATACTGAACTTTTCTTTGTGCTTTTTTCCCCCAAAAACCCAGTTTGCGCTGGTCTGACCAGTGCCTTTCTGTGTGGAACTTGAATGTCCACCTAATGTTTGCACGGTCCTAAAAACTGATAGAAGAGAATGGATGGATGCACTCTGCCTCAAGTGGTCGCTTTAAGAATTGCAGTTTTTTTTTAGCATCGCCTTGATTTTTGTAGCACTTATTTTTATGATTTATCCTCTAAGTAAGGTTATTAAAGTGCACTGATTCTTATATAGCAATATGCATCCATTCTAATATTCACACTATGATGGATGCATCGGGGAGAAACTTGGTATCTTGCCCAAGGATATTTGGCATGCACATTTGGGCAGCTAAGTACTGAACCAGCAACGTTGTGATTAGTACATGACCTGCTCTACCACCTGAGCTACAGCCGTCACCTACTGCTCAACAATTCTACATCAAAAGTAGAAAATGATAGAGATTTTTATGACATCTACACAAACAATTTGATGCCATTTATTTATTATTTTAGCTCTATATCAGTGTGAAGTCATGCCTCGTTCATTGTGCAGCAGCAGTGTCATGGCTGACTCCTTGTTACTGTAGTCAGACTGGTGCTTTCAGTAAGAGACAAAACTTGCTCAGAAGGAGGGCAGCGAGGGCACCGGAGGGTGGCGTGGGAACCGGCATATGCACCTGCGTTTTATTTTGGTTGTAAACAAAGCTGAGGACAATCAGGACAAGGTCAACTAGGGGTAGGGAGGAATAAAGAGCAGAGTGGGGAGCTGAGTCTGCCTCAGCGAGACAGTCTGTGCCATTTAGGCAGCGGCAGAGCCGGGGCACGATGAAATATTTATGGACTTGCAGGTGCTGCAGTTTGCCTTGTAGTCTTCAAATGTGCCTGAAATGACTTTTCTGTCTTATGCCAACACAACTTCGTTTAATTGGGGGTGTCACATGGAGGTTGATGAAGAGTCAACATTATCAGTCTTCAGACAGTCAAGTCTCTGTTTGTGGTTAAAACAAAGCTGTGGGAAATGAGAGACTCGAGTGTCTGTCACACTGAGGCTGAAGAAAACCTTTTCTCCCCCGGACTCGTTCATCCTCTGCAGCTCTGTACGTTACGGGAATTTGACTAAGATGTGATTTTGCTTGGTACACATGGTTCTCTTATTATTGCCCCTTTTCTTAAAGATAAATTAATAGTTTCATGTGTTTAAACATTACAAGGGTTAGACCCTTTTCACCTTGTGTGCAGCTCAATTTGTAATTGAGAGGATTCAAAGAAAAATGTTTCCGATTTATGTCACTATCTGCAAATTCTCCTACTGAAGAAAATAGTAAAGTGTTGTTCATGAAGCTGTCACCCAGTGAGCATACTCTGACTCTGATACTGACCAAATAATCTCAGTATTTTAATCAGTAGACCTGAAACTAGAGCTTGAGCTCACTGAGAGCAAGATAACCGATGGTCATTTTCCTGTAGACGTCTTTAATAGCAGAACCCTTCCTGAAAGCAGAGAGTCTCCACCTGCTGGTGGTAAAACAATCCAAGTTAAAGGCTCCTTGCTTTTCAGACCCAGAAGCTGCATCCATCCTACAGTTAGTCGTCTGGACACCTACAGCAGGAAGGAGATGACTTTTTTGTTCCCTCACCTGGAACATAAACTCCACGTTTAAACTGTGAAACTTTTAGGACTGGAGAAGTTGTTGAGAACCTTCAACTTAATGACACTGAACACGGGAGGTCAGCAGGGGTTAAAGTCATGTGACTTCGGTGTTGCTCTTTTCACTGTTGTGTCAGTGCAGGTTTCCTTAAATTATATATAGAAGAGATGCCAAATATTAACAAACAGTAGTACTGTTTAATCATCTGTACATGTAAGAAATGAACACAAATATATGAATTGCAATTTATTAGTGAGATAAATGAAAACAGGCACACAATAAAGGAAGGGAAAAATAAATCATTCATAATACATTTGCACTGGTTTTATTTCACATCAAAGCAGAGTTACTAGGCTACAGTCGCAGCTGTTTCTCCTGTTTCAGCTAAAGTGAAATAACATTTAATCACATTGACAACTATGTAAGTATGTTAAAAGCTTACCAACACGTTTTGCACCGTATCAATAGTCTGACTTCTTAGATAAGCTAAAAGTAATCCGTGGTCATGCTTGGATCTTTTTATTTTAGCACACTTTAACAACAGTTTGCTGACAAGTCAAAAACTTTCACAAACACACAAACAGAAGATGTTGATGTTGCAGCGTGAAATACCTGTAAACTACTGTTAGCTTCCTCTATGCTACATTAGCTCTGCTGTTAGCTCTGCTGTTAGCTCTGCTGTTAGCTCTGCTGTTAGCTCTGCTGTTAGCTCTACTGTTAGCTCCGCTGTTAGCTCTGCTGTTGCATTGTAGAATAAAGACAAAACAATATAAAACTGATTCATTGTCCTCATCATTATCTAATCAAACTTCTTGGGTCAGTATCAGACTGATATCTCATTTAAATATCAGATCTGCAAGTCTCTTGGTTTTTAGCGAAGCACGGTCATGGCTAGGTAGCTAAGCTAAGCTAACTAGTGGCTAATTCTAAGTTGTCATTTAAAGTTGAGTTCCTTAATGCTAGCCATACTTGACCGTATTTACTTTGTTGAAGAACTGTGTGGAAACCTGTTCACTGTGAGGAAACGCTGCTAAACCAAGCGCACAGGTTACAATATAGCTTTACTTCCATGTAAAGGTCAGAATTTGTGGGAATAGTTATGTTCAAGTAAAAATAGCATTTACATTGATACCACCAAAGCGTTGCATTTGTTGAATCAGTTTGTTGAATGAATGGCTTTAAAATGGAGTAGAGGATCTGTGTCACTGCACTGATGGAATTTGCAGCTCTTAATGGCTCCAATAAACATCTGGGGTGAGAAATCATCTGGAGAAAAGGCTTTGGCAACAGCAATCATTCCACTCATGGTTGAAGTCACAAAGCAGACACTAATAATTAGGGAAATGTGTCCTTGTACTTGAAGTTATTACGATAGTGCCACAATGACAGATTGATTTGCATCTGTGAGATTTCAGCGGATTTGCACCCTTAAAAGCCGACAAAATAATTATGTGTCATAAAAAAAATTGTGTTTAGTACTTTTCAGAGCTTTTGTAAAACGACTGTGGCTGAAATGAAACTCATGAAAGTGTATATGTCTTTGAGTAGAGACTGAAAGTTTTAAGTGTTATTTGCTCAGATACACAGATCCAGCAGGAATGTAGATGTGTACCCCTAAAAGCTGCGAGTGCTTGATACACTTTGTGCTGAGCTAATTAACATCCGCACGCTAATGCTGGTAGTTTTGTCTGAACCAGCGACTTCAAGGTTCATCTCCAGACTGAAGGCTTTAATAAAAATACCAGGTTAATTTTTCAGTACTGCTAATTAGATTAAAAATCAGGTCGGAGTTGAACGTGGATCACACTTTGGCTCTCGAGTACCCTTGAAAGGAGATGATGAGGATTTTAAAGGCATAGTTCTTGCTATAAATCTTAAGGGTTTGAACTGACGGTGCCCTCTCTGGGCATTTGTGGGAAAATGGTTGCACAGACAGACAGAGTGCTGATGTTTGGGTTTGAGGGAGGATGAAAGATGCAGCTGAACATACTGTACCTGCCTTCTTCACTACACAGTTGTCCCAGTGATTAGCAGCTGGCAGATCTCTAAAATGGGAGGATATCCTTGTTTGTACGGGCACAGCTGCAGATACAACAGGCCGGTGCTCCCGAAACACTGGCTAATGAATGTGGCGGCCTTTTGTGTAGCACGTTGTGTGTTTTAAACAATCCTGAGCACAATTGGGGTTTGGCTTCATCACTGTCAGGGCACGTTAGCTGTTAACGGCTGCAGCAGTTGATCTAATAGAGCTCCTTGCAGTGTGCAGGCTCTTTTCCTCCCATCGTGCAGACGTGAGTTCACATTTGAGCCGTGTTCTTTTTGACCTGAAACTTGACTGCACTTGATAGGTCAAGGCCAAAGACTCAGAGCTCAAAGCATGCGTTAAATGCGCTGTACTCTTAATTATTAGCACTGGTAATTGTGTTGGCTGTTCCCATGCTGATAGGTCAGCTTGGCATGGGATGCTGGATGGTCAGTTAGGCATATAGGCACATCTGATTTGACAGATGGAGGAAGCAGCTGCTCCGACCGGCAGAGGGATTCGGATTGTTCACAATAGGTGCCGCAAAAAAGCCCACAAGATAATGACTCAGTCCTTCTTGACTTTAAACCAGGCACCGAAGTCAATCTTGCTGGAATTTCTCCACCTTAAAGCTGATGTTGCTATGCAGCGGTTGGTGTTAAGCTGGGGTTGAACAATGCAGCTCAGCGGGGCCATAGGCAGAGCCCCTGCTAAAGAAGTTTAATCTGCTAATCCGTTCTATTTTCATGTGGGTGTGTGATTTGTCAGGCTGCTGCCTTTACACTTGACATGGGTCAGGATTACCTGGGCTCTGCACACAGGAGTCCTGCCCCATATCAAGACCCCCTCCCAGTATGTGTACTGTAGAGTAGGGGAAATCATCCACTCCCCAAAACGAAACACCCTCTACACCTCTCCCATCACTCGGCCTGCATTCCTTCACTAATGAGCCCCCCCACCACCACCTTTACCACTAACCCTCTTTGCCATCACTAAGCCTGCAGCTGCACTACAGAAAGACTTCAAAAGCTGTGCTCAGACCAGGACAAACAGTCACAAATTCATTAATATACCATCGACCAAAACATAGAAAATACGTGAGATTTTATGTAAATAGTCGACTGTGTTTTATATTGTAGCAAAATCCAGAATAATCAGTGGAGGGAGTTAAATATTTACTAATAGCTCACAGTCTCATTTGCATGTAAAGATGAGGAAACGTGCAGGTTATTTTCATGTGGTCAGCCTGCTGACTCCACGCAGTCAGATGCAAATAATGGAAACGCTGACCAATGAATACATGAACTGTTTTCCTCTGACCAACAGTAATCGTCTGTATTCACATTAAACGTGTTAGCTTTAGAGACACATCTACACAGACAACGTGAACATCCGCACAAGTGACTGTACAGGCAGCAGGTCGACGAGTATGTCAATAACACATTGTGATATATTGTGTCGCCTTTTTTAAACTGCGAAAGCTGAATTTCATCAGTATCTGGGTTTTTCACCGTGAAGCAGACAGACTCTAGACAGCGCTGTCATTCAAACCTTTTACAGATGTCCAGCTTAACTGCGTCCAACTGATGCTAACCCTCACAAGTGTGCAGCAGTCCGTGAGATAACGAGCTGTTACAGTCACATAGGGATCCGCAGCCTGTGACACACTTAATGCAACAAATTCTGCTGAATTCGACTGAACGTTTACCTGGATCCAACGTTGTGGAAAAATGTCACACTAACAAAATAAAGCTTCTCACCTCTGGGGTCCAGTTGAATTGTGTCCAGTCTCATTAGTGTTTTGCCATTGAGTTGATTTAGCTGTTTTTAGCTAATGTTATCTGAGGACGGCGGTGCATGAGATAAGCCGTGTTGTGTCCATAAAACATCAGCATTACGCCTACACAATGTATACAGTTATGAGGTGGCTTTTGTCACATTTACAGACAAAGTAAATGTATCATAGTCTTTGACTTACAGCTAACTGCTGGATGTTGCATCGTGTACAACAATAAACTGATCAGGTCAGAGAGTAACTTTTCAAGCGTGCAGGTGTGACACTTTGAACACTTTAAAGACTTTCTGTGAAGATCGAAAGTCTTTAAAGTGTTCGAAGCTCAGAAAAGAGACACTGAACTCAAAGATGTTGGCTCGTGAGGTCGGAGGATCAAATCCTCCCTCCGAGCTCAGTCATGTGAGGGCTGAGCCACAGCTCATTAATGAAGAATCTCAGCAAAGTGATCCCACATGTGCACCTGTCCTGTGATTTATCGCAGACCCTAAATCTCTAGGGAGGGATGACAGGCCGGACCTCCTCCAACACATGGTCCCAGCTTTGAATTATGGTCTGAAAAAACAATTCTGCAGAGTGAAAAACACTTTTTTTAACCACAGCGAGAAAACAATTATTAGAATTTAGACGTGAAAATGCTGCAATTCATTCATTCTGCTGGTAATAAAGACGCAGATCGTGACAGTTGTCATGCAGTGTGCTGTACATGTGAGTATCGCTATAGTGCCATCGATTTATTAGAAGTTAAGAGGACCCGATGCTACATACATACCTAGCTAACTTAAATAAGGTAAAATGATGAGCCTTTGCTTCCTGTCATGTGCTTTAAAATTAAATGTGGGGAGTCTTGGTCTTTGTGTCATTTTTATATGTTTTACCGATGGTTTACCGTAGCACAAAGCTGTAAATCTGAGTGAATTCGCTGATGTAACCTGACAGCTTGCAGTCCCTCTGTGTTTGCAGGCAATCTGGTGTTAACGGACATTAAGCAGCATCACAACAAAGCAGCTATAATGGCATGACTGAACTTTCTTAGTGCAACAACTGAGTGTAAATGTTTCAGTGTGAGACTCAGACTGCCAAGTTACCATCATCACCTGAATGTTTAATCAAATATCCAGTAAACCTGAAGGTTTCTCCCCTCATGTCAGCTTGCACGGCCTCAGGTTGAAAATGTCTGCTCTGGCTGCCGTATTTAGCTTCTTGTTTTTTAAGTAAGCTCTGCCAGAGGCATTGGCATCATGCTTGGCAGCAGCAAGCCAGCTGGTGATGAAGCCGAATGATTTATGTTTGTCTCAGAAGGCTTCCTGTGAGTCACAGCCGTTAAAACTCCAGAGAAGGGAAACACGCTGTTATTTCTCAAGATCAGTTTCCTTCCCTTCCTTTTGTTTCCCTGTATTAAAATAAACATTCGTTACTCATTAAAATCCAGCAGGGATTAGACTGGATGACTGGAAAAGCTGTGGATTCCCTGGTAGAGGAAGGAACAGTAACACGCAACATTTAAAATTCAATTCAGTTTTATTTACACAGCATTAAATCACAACAACAGTCGCCTCAAGACGCTTTATATTGTAAGGTCGACCCTACAATAATACACACAGAGAAAAACCCAACAATCATATGACCCCCTATGAGCAGCACTTTGGCGACAGTGGGAAGGAAAAACTCCCTTTTAACAGGAAGAAACCTCCAGCAGAACCAGGCTCAGGGAGGGGCGGGGCCATCTGCTGTGATTGGTTGGGGTGAGAGAAGGAAGACAGGATAAAGACATGCTGTGGAAGAGAGACAGAGATTAATAACAGATATGATTCAATGCAGAGAGGTCTGTTAACACATAGTGAGTGAGAAAGGTGACTGGAAAGGAAAAACTCAGTGCATCATGGGAATCCCCCGGCAGCCTACGTCTATTGCAGCATAACTAAGGGAGGATTCAGAGTCACCTGGTCCAGCCCTAACTATATGCTTTAGCAAAAAGGAAAGTTTGAAGCCTAATCTTGAAAGTAGAGATAGTGTCTGTCTCCTGAATCCAAAAAAGGTTGGTAGATCAACAGTACCATCCAGGTCAGTAATGCAGAAGCAGCTCGCTCAGGACAGGATAAGAGTGAAGATGTTTTCCACGTTGTGTATGTAAAGTACCTAATGACATATATGACACAACGTCACAGAAAACGACTCTCTTTCTTTGGCTTTGAAAAGAACATATATCACATTTTTTCTTTCAGATTTTCGGAGAGACCGAGCCTGTTCGCATGACGTCAGAAGGTTCAGACTGCCGCTGTAAGTGCATCATGCGCCCTCTGAGCAAGGATGCATGTCTGCGCTTGAAGAGTGGCAGTGTACGCGTGGAGGACTTCTACACAGTGGAGACGGTCAGCTCTGGATCAGACTGTAAGTGCTCGTGCACAGCCCCGCCATCTTCCCTCAACCCCTGCGAGAACGAGTGGAAGATGGAGAAGCTGAAGAAACAGGCCCCGGAGTTATTAAAGGTGAGTGGCTACAATGTAGCACTGTGGCTACATTGTAGCCACAGTGCGCCCCAGGGTAGCTGTGGCTACAATGTAGCTGCCATCACCAGTGTGTGAATGATTGTGTGAATGATTTGTGTATAGTGTAAAGCACTTTGGGGTCCTTAGGACCAAGTAAAGCACTATACAGACCATTTACCCTACAGTCACTGTGATTTTTAGAGTCACAGCATGTGTTTGTGCAAAAACACAAACAGTTTTCTTTTCTTGCCTGTTTCCCCCATTAGGAGTCAGGAAATTCAGACACTGAAAATCCTGTTAAGTTTTGATGAAGTCATGAAGAAAGTAAACTTAATCAATGTCATTTTACAGAAAACAAAATAGCATTTATTTCAGTTATTTCAGTTATTTTAGTTTGTTTAGTTTGTTTAGTTTGCAAAATGTAACTAAAAGAAAAGCAATAACAACCATCTCTGCACAGAATCGGACAAACAAACTGTACGACATGAACCTAAAGGCCACTCTGATGTCTCCGGCTCCACTTGGAAGAATGAATTAACCTAATATGATTGCACTTAGGAGTAGAGCACAAACATAAAGCACTGAGATGAATGAGAGCACTCAGGCAGAGTGATGTAAATGCCTCTGGAGGGCACTTCAGTGATTACTGTGGTTAAACAGAAGCACATAAAGCTGTCAGCTGTGTCACGAGGAGACGATGATTAATGACGTTTCTTCTCCTTTTATCGTATGAACGAACAGCTCCAATCGATGGTGGACCTCCTCGAGGGAACGCTTTACAGCATGGATCTTTTAAAAGTCCACTCCTACATCAATAAGGTGGTGTCTCAGATGAACACCCTGGAAGAGGTAGGCAAAACCCACACTGACATGTTTATAATCAAAGTGTCGGTCAGGATGCTCGGGCTTGGGAAGTTTGAGGATTTTGTGATTTTTTTTATCTCATGGACAGAGAAATGTGACACTAATGATGGTATGTTGTAGACAATCAAGACAAACCTTACACGTGAGAATGAATTCGTCCGGGACAGCATGTTGAGCCTCACCAACCAGTTTAAGAGATACGAGAACTATTCCAACATCATGATGAGCATCAAGAAGGAGATCTCCAGCCTCAGCCTGCAGCTGCTGCAGAAAGACTCAACTGAGAGCAAAGCACAGGTTGGGAACACAGTTTAAGCTTTCGGTGTGTCTTTGTGCCTGCACGGGTATGTGACAGACTTTAAAAACAGTCCTGTGTGTTATTAGTTAAATCACAAAACTATTAAATGAAATTAAACTGAACACATGCCCGTAGTTATGTCCTTGTCAGTTCTGAGTTCTCTGGCATTACAAACTTGGATTAGCTACGATATTGGTCATAATCCAAACAAAACAAACAGTTTGATGTTGCGTCACATTTGTATTATTGTACTTTTACTGCTTCTGAGTAACCATGTTCAAGAAAACATTGCTGAGAAAATATTGTGCATCGTTCTTAAAGGAATTTATGGGTCTCCTCAGGGGACGTTTGCTGAAACAACACTTTAACTAGAAGCTGAAGGACATGTGTGAATACTGCATGTAACATGTACTGTTATCAGGAAGTACCAGTCAAAAGTTTGGACATCATTTTACTACTTTCTACATTGTAGATACAAACTTAAGATATCAAATATATGAATATATTGATAATATATAACTCTATAAATGTCTTATAGTTGAGATTCCTCAAAGTAGCCATCCTTTGCCTTGTTTCCATGTTTGCCTGTGTGAATCAGGCCTTTACGGTCAAATAGCTGCTGAGAAACCACGACTAAGGAAAAGCAACAAGCAGAAGATTTGTTTGGGCCAAGAAACACAAGAAATGGACATTAGACCAGTGGACAACTGTGCTTTGGCCTATAAGTCCAAATTTGAGCTCTTTGGTCTTACTGTGACACAGAAAAGCTGAACGATGGTCTCTACATGCATGGTTCCCACTGTGAAGCCTGGAGGTGGAGGAGTGATGGTGTGGGGGGCTTTGCTGGTGACACTGTTGGGGATTTATTCCAAATTGATGCACACTGAACCAGCATGGCTACCACAGCATCCTGCAGCCACGGCTGCAGGATGCTCTTCCTCTGCTTCCTCTGGTTTCTTTTAGTTGGACCATCATTTATTTCTCAACAGGACAATGACCCCAAACACACCAGACTGTGTGAGGGCTATTTGACCAAGAAGGAGAGCGATGGAGGCCTGACCTAAACCCAATGGATCTCTGGGAACTCCTTCAAGACTGTTGTTAAACCATTTCAGGTGACGACCTCATGAAGCTCATCGAGAGAGCCAAGAGTGAGCAACGCAGGAATCAAACGGCGGCTATTTTAAAGAATCTTAAATATAAAACATTTTTCATATTTCATAGTGTTTATTAAAAAACCATAAATGAGATGGTGTCCAAACGTTTGACTGTACGAGACAAAGAGAGAGACAAACATAGATACATTAATATGGAGGAAAAGAAGGATGTAGTAAACCTCTGAAAGAAGGGCAGTAGCAGTAAGATTAGTCATCATTTACTATCATTACACCTGAAGGGTGAACTAATCACCCACGTTTAAAACACACAGGCCACTGTTACTAATATCCTGACATAATGTGAATTTCTTTCCAGGCTACAAAAACCAAGGAGGCTGTAAAAACACCCAACAAAAAGAGCCCTGCTGTTAAACCCCCTCCCAAACCTCCCAAAGAAAAGGTTGTCAAGCCCAAGAAAGAGGTCGTTAAACATGGGAAGCTGGTGAAGCCTGATCCTACAGTCAAAACCAAGGTGGTCGGCCACCAGCCTGGCGTGGTGAGGGGCATCACCTACTACAAGGCCTCCAAAGCTGACGAGGATGAGCACAGAGGAGGTGAGGGTTTCGGTTCTCTGTACGCCCTCCACGAGCTAAAACAAACAGCGTGTTCACACGTTAGCTGAGTTTGCTCTCCCGTGTGTGTGCGATCATCTGTGTGTGATCCACTGTGGGTGTTGAAAACGATCCAAATTAGTTTCCTCAGCAATCTAATCTGAGCCTACGTGATACTTTCCTGGATCAGGATCAGCCTGCAGCCAGAGTCATGGAAGCAGAGCGTGCACGAGCTCGATGTGGTTTCCAGCAGAAAGCCTTCCTGAGAATCTTTAAATAGTGTGAGATAAGGCCGTAATTGTGTTGAAAACTCTACACTTGAGTTAATAAAACTGGGATCCATCACTGTGTGGCACATGTGATCCCCATAATGCAAGATTTATTCCGGTGTTGTTTCAGGCAAAGCTGTTCCAGCGAGTGTCCAATTGGATTGCTGCTGCACATTCAGCGAGCAGGAAGTCCAAATCTTTTAATGACAAACATGGAGCTGGTGGAATGCTGTCTCAATGCAATGCTGCCATGTCCATGACATGCCTCTGCTTCACTTCTCACAGTAACGTGAGGGGACCCTCACCAGTGCAGAGAAAACATTTCCTGACTCCTTCCAATCCTCTTTAAGTCTAGCTGAGTGAATAGGTATGCTGCGTTTGCACAGGGCACACGCACATAAGGTTGTCACACTCGGTGTTCTGCCATGTATGAGAATCTGACAGAGCCCACCCGCTCTTGTCAAATCGCTGTTCGGCTACATTTCCATAATCTGCAGCACGGATGCAGGGACCTTTATTTATCCGGGAAAGCTTGATGCTTTTTGTGTGCTCGGCACATTTGGCTACAGCGACACACAGTTTGTGTTAGCACACCTGTCAATCACAGTTTCCTTTAAACGTCACTCCTATCCAAGTGGATAACTTGAGTCACCCACTGTGCAGCTGTTATGGTGGAGGAAACTATCCATGAAGGTCAAAACCAACAAGACGAAGCCCGGAGAGAATTTACAGCAGAGCAACTGTGTTTGGCACAGCGTTGCATTCAGATCGTAATTCTGATTGCAAAAGCTGCCGGTCACGAAAAAAGGTCAAAACCATTTTGTAAACTCGTTCAGAGTGTTGTTCAATTTGCCATTTCAACATGGAGGTCTGTGGAGACGGAGTCACCTTTGGAACCAGCGTCTCATGACCTTCAGGAGAACCGCAGCTGTTTGCATGAAGGAGCTGGTGTTCAGTGAGGAAAGTCTAAATCCCTGATTGCAGCCATTCACCAACTCTCTGTGGACGGTACTCACGGTCATTAATCAGTGCTCATTTGCATATTAACTATGAAACTGACCTCACAGGACATTGAAACCTTGTAGTAGTTCCAGACTGAGACTGATGTTTGGCTTTTTCTTTAGAACGTGGCATCATGTGCCATGGCCTTGCATATCTTCATCACCATGTCAAAGCATTTTACAGGCTCTTTTTATGTAGTGCAATGTGTATCCCATCTGCTTCACCAAACACAGATGAAGGCCTGTCCTCGAACACTAACCCAGCATTCATTTTTTCTGAAGGATTCTGGTAATGTTCTCAGAATATTGTTGCCACTGGTGCCCATAAGCTCCATATGCTTAGAGTATGTTAAGGTCTCTGCTTGTAGCACTGCTCCCCACATCTGTCTGTCAGGACCAAAGTCACTGTGTGAGGACCAGAAGGAGACTGAGTACATTTTACTAACGGCAACAGCAGTTTGAATTTATAAGGAAAGAAGCAAAATGATGATGAAGAACTAGAGTAAGCATTCAGTGTGTATGGATGGGAACTGATAAGAATTCAGCAATTTATATTCCATTATTTATCACTTATTTTTATTCTTATTTATCTCTTATCACTTATCCCATTATTTATCACTTATTTTTATTCTTATTTATCACTTATCACATTATTTATCACTTATTTTTATTCTTATTTATCACTTATCACATTCTTTATCACTTATTTATTCTTATTTATCACTTATCCCATTATTTATCACTTATTTTTATTCTTATTTATCACTTATCACATTATTTATCACTTATTTATTCTTATTTATCACTTATTTATTCCATTTCTTATGGATTCTCTCATCGATTGGGTTCTCACTGGCTTTGCTTTGACAGTCACCACCAAGCAGCACATCAAATACATCACATTTCTGCACATAATTTTTATGCACTGCAGTCAAATGTTTGTGCATTTTACAGATATTTCCCATTGTTGTTGAGAGTTGGGTCATTATTCAAAAAAGCATTAGCATTACACATATTACTTAGAACACTTTAATGTAATGACATGAATATAGACATTATCTGTCTCATAATTACCATTTAACAATATAAACTAATAGGCTACAGTCCCAGAATCCAGCACAAACCCCTGTCCTAATGAGGACACACACATGGCTGCTCGACTGCTGGGCTGGG